CACAGACACACACAGACACACACATACACACACACACACACATACACACATACACATACACACACACATACACACACACACACATACACACACACATACACATACACACACACACACACACACACACACACACACACACACACACACACACACACACACACACACACATACACAGACAGATACACACACCGACACAGATACACACACAGATTCACACTGTAACAGACACACACAGTCACAGATACACACACAGATTCACACTGTCACAGATACAGTCACAGATACACACACACACACACATGTTCCCACTGTCACAGATACAGACACACAGAGAAACACTGTCTCAGATACACACACACGGGCACACACACATTCAGAAACACACTGACACAAATACACACACACAGATACACACTGACACAGATACACACACAGATTCACACTGTAACAGACACACAGATTCATAATGTCACAGATACACACACACACACACACACACAGATTCACACTATCACAGATACACACAGTCACAGATACACACACATAGATTTACACTGAAACAGTTACACACACAAATACACACTGTTACAGATACACACAGTCACAGATACGCACTGTGTGTTTGCCACGAGCTCCCGGAGGAGCCTGCTTAACAGCCTCCTGCCAACAGACTACCTGTAAAAGATCATTTAACTGGCTTGGTTTGGGAACCGGACCGCCACATGAACTATGGACCACCCGGGAACTTGTTAAGCCTAATGGATACATTGTAATGATCCTAACCTAATGGTTCATCTGGGTGGCCACCGTTCGTATGCACGAACACGTGGGTGGCAGCCATGTTGTTTGCACAAAGGCAGGCAGTGGTGTTTGGTAGTCGAAATCCTGGAACTGAAAACGGACACTGAAACTAGCGAATATTGCCAGACTTTCATGATCGCCTGCGTTCGGTTTTATATAACTTAGAAGGATGCTGTTCGGTGGGATCATTCGTCTAGATTATTATTATTATGATATTTATATAGCGCCATCAAATTCCGAAGCACTTTACAATGGGTGGACGAACAGACATGTAGTTGTAACCAGACAAGTTGGACACACAGTAACAGAGAGATTGAGGGCCTGCTCTGTGAGTTTACATGTTAGAGGTAGTGGGGTATAGTGACAGTAACAGAGGGACTGAGGGCCCTGCTCAGTGAGTTTACATGTTAGAGGGAGTGGGGTATAGTGACACAGTAACAGAGGGATTGAGGGCCCTGCTCAGTGAGTTTACATGTTAGAGGGAGTGGGGTATAGTGACACAGTAACAGAGGGATTGAGGCCCTGTTCAGTGAGTTTACATGTTAGAGGGAGCGGGAAATAGTGACACAGTAACAGAGGGATTGAGGGCCCTGCTCAGTGAGCTTACATGTTAGAGGGAGTGGGGCATAGTGACACAGTAACAGAAGGATTGAGGGCCTGCTCAGTGAGTTTACATGTTAGAGGGAGTGGGGTATAGTGACACAGTAACAGAGGGATTGAGGGCCCTGCTCAGTGAGTTTACATGTTAGAGGGAGTGGGGTATAGTGACACAGTAACAGAGGGATTGAGGGCCTGCTCAGTGAGTTTACATGTTAGAGGGAGTGGGGTATAGTGACACAGTAACAGAGGGATTGAGGGCCTGCTCAGTGAGTTTACATGTTAGAGGGAGTGGGGTATAGTGACACAGTAACAGAGGGATTGAGGGCCTGCTCAGTGAGTTTACATGTTAGAGGGAGTGGGGTATAGTGACACAGTAACAGAGGGATTGAGGGCCCTGCTCAGTGAGTTTACATGTTAGAGGGAGTGGGGTATAGTGACACAGTAACAGAGGGATTGAGGGCCCTGCTCAGTGAGTTTACATGTTAGAGGGAGTGGGGTATAGTGACACAGTAACAGAGGGATTGAGGGCCTGCTCAGTGAGTTTACATGTTAGAGGGAGTGGGGTATAGTGACACAGTAACAGAGGGATTGAGGCCCTGCTCAGTGAGTTTACATGTTAGAGGGAGTGGGGTATAGTGACACAGTAACAGAGGGGTTGAGGGCCCTGCTCAATGAGCTAACATGCTAGAGGGAGTGGGGTATAGTGACACAGTAACAGAGGGATTGAGGGTCCTGCTCAGTGAGTTTACATGTTAGAGGGAGTGCGGTATAGTGACACAGTAACAGAGGGGTTGAGGGCCCTGCTCAATGAGCTTACATGCTAGAGGGAGTGGGGTAAAGTAATACAAAAGGTAAGGATAGTATTAGACTAATGACAGTTGAAAGAGAGGAATCAGTCAGGAGCTATTAATAGTTTAATTGATACGCTTTTATGAAGAAGTGGGTTTTTAACTATTTTTTGAAGGATTGGAGACTGGGTGAGCATCTAACGGAGGAGGGAAGCGAGTTCCACATGAACGGTGCAGCCGTCGAGATGAAGGGAAAAAGCTCCATGGTACGGCAATGGATTCTGTTTGGTAGTTTGTTCTCTTTTAAATAACCAAACTTGACCAACTGCTACCACTTTTTGTGTGTCAGATTGTGTGTGATTTCTGGGATGTTGTGTGTCAGATTTCGTGTGTATCTGTCAGTGTGTATCTCTGTGTGTGTGTACCTGTGTCAGTGTGTGTGACAGAACCATCTGTCTGTTTGCGGTGGATTCGTCTGCTTCTGCCCCGTTCGTGTAAATGGCTGTTTCCTATAGCCCAGCCATACGAATGACTGTTTTTCCCGAACAAACCTGCCGAACGGACGGCCACCCAGGAGAGAAGTGTGCTGCTGGTTAACCTATTGATCCAAATTAGAACGTTGTGGTTAACCGCAGACACTTCTCAATTAAACTGAATTCAGGGTGGTCGTCGTTCGTATGTTGACCACGAGGCAGCGGCCATTTTAAACCACGCGAAAGCCCAGCGGTGTTCAGCTCTATTTTCATGGAACTAAAAACGGACACTTTATCTGCCGAACACCGCTGAAACAACGGAACGCCTGGCTGCCTCCACGAAAGCGTACGAACACCGGCCGTTCGGGAGGTTTACAGCACACGAAAGGACTTAACCCAGATAGCCTTCCCATGGAGTCATTCGTATACCGAAAGACCGTAAGAACTTTGACTCCATGGCGATTGAACTATGTGTGTGGGATCTGAGCTCTATTCGCTAATAATATGCACTCAGATCCAGGCTATCTGGGGATATGTGATGCGAATGGGAAATGTTCGGTTATTTTAAAGTTATGTATTTTTATGTATTTTCTGGTTTTACATTTAAGATGGCGATTGTCTTTGTCCTGGAGATAATTGAATTTCTTCTCAATTATCTCCAGGGCAGACGGGAGGAAACCATAGTGCATTGTAGGTAAAAGTTGTGACTGTACGTCTGGAATGTCCCCATGTCTGTCTGTCATTACAGTCTCCCATTTGGTCCCCTAGGGGAGTGACCACCAGGTGGGAGACCTGCATAAATACGGGCAGGTAGCCCACAGTAAAGCCAGATCCTGTTTGACCCTCAATGCGGAGCTTCTGTCTCGTTATTGGGGGGATTTATTATTTGCGTTTAGAGACTGCTGATTGGAACCGAAAGTCGCTTGGTGGATATTGTTGTTCAGCGGCTAGCAGCAGTTCGTGGAGTTCCGTTTGGGAGGTTGGAGCCGTTCACGGATCCTGGTCGGGAGATTACCGCTTCCCCTGGTTATGGTTCGTGTATTACACATTGATGCGAATGGATTACTGAATTTGCGAAATGGGAATGTGAACTAAACGGCGCTTTCCCTTAAAGACACCCGGGGTGTCTTAACAGTGTGTATCTGTGTGTGTGTATCCATGATAGTATGAATCTGTGTGTGTATCTGTGTCAGTGTGAATCTGTGTCAGTGTGTATCTGTGACTGTGTGTATCTGTGGCAGTGTGTATCTGTATCTGTGTCAGTGTGAATCTGTGACTGTGTGTATCTGTGACAGTGTGAACCGATGTGTGTATCTGTGCATGTGAATCTGTGTGTGTATCTGTGTCAGTGTGAATCTGTGTGTGCGTAACTGTGACTGTATGTATCTGTGACTGTGTGTACATGTGTGTGTATATGTGTTAGTGTGTATCTGTGTGTATCTGTGTCAGTGTGAATCTGTGTGTGTATCTGTGACTGTATGCATCTGTGACTGTATGTGTGTGTGTATCTGTGTGTGTGTATCTGTGTCAGTGTGAATCTGTGTGTGTGTATCTGTGACTGTATGTATCTGTGACTGTTTGTATCTGTGACAGTGTGTATATGTGACATTGTGTATGTGTGTGTGTGCGTGTGTATATCTGTGACAGTGTGTATTTGTGACATTGTTTATGTGTGTGTGTATCTGCAACAGTGTGTATCTGTGTCATCTGTGTATGTGCATCTGTGTGAGACATGAGGGTGTGTTCATTATGTGAGACATGAGGGTGTCCGGGAGACACACCACAAATGACTTGGGATGTCTGCAAAGACTGTGCAATCCAGAGGATTTAGCGACTCGCTACTTGCAAAATGAAAAGTTTATCTCATCACTTGCATGTTTTTATTAAATATTGATAAACTAAAGAATGAATTATAAGGAGGTAAGAACCAAAATTAACTATAATGAGTTGAACATTTTTGAAAATTTGGTACCTTTCTTCATGTAGCAAATTGTTTGTCAATTCACCACAAGTAAGTGACTGACTATCTGCATGACGGGCGAGACCTGCGCTCCATGGTTCAATAAATTCCATTGCAGATTGTAACGGATCACCTGGCACCCCGACTGGGTACCTCCGTTGAAGGATGCTCCTAGAGCTTCCTGAGGACTCCAAGCACTGCAGCAGACACCACAACCACCGAACCAGAGAAGCATACGAATGCTCTCAAGCATATGAATGCTGTAAGCAGCTGAACAGGAAAAGCATACAATCAGCTTACACTCCTGGCAATCAGCATACAATCCAATTCCCCCAATAACGAGACGACACTTCATTGTGAGGTCAAGCAGAACTGACTGTACTGGCACATACAGCCTCTTTTATTCACAATCCACAAACTTAGTACTGCCCACAGGGTTTTGAAATACAACCAATCAATCCTTACAATGCACACAGACACTCCCACACAAAATCCTCCCCTCTGCCTGTGATATGATTACTGAACACAATGGTTAATATAATTAGGCAGAGAAATACAGTATTATAAAACATATCACAGGGAGCCCAAAATATGCAATAACCCCATATCCTCGGAACCCGGGGGATCTCGGTGAACCACATATCCAAAATTCACCCAGATCCGTTCAGTAGTTTGGAAGATACAGTTTAATGCAGATTCCACAGAACATATACAGGCTATATGAAAAATAATTACTGTATAAGGTGTCCCCTGCTGTATAGTTTAAAACTACTGCACAATGTCTTTGTGCACCAAATACCGGCGAGATGGCACCGTGTAGAAAGTCCAAACAGTGTCTGTGAGTTAAAATGGCCGCCATCCATTGTTTTCACCATGTTCTTCATCCATTGTTCTCACCATGTGCCTCTGATACATGAAATGGTGGCCACCCAATAACTCCACAGTTTGTCTGGTACTCTATCCAGGCGGACCAACAGATGAAACATGGGGAACAGTGCAAAAAACGAAGGGAATCATAAAAAATATGGACAATAGTCATATTTGTGCACAATCTCCAGTTTTGTCACAGGGCACAAATAGTGTTTTCAAATGCCATATATCCCAGGGCCATAGTCAGAAGGTAGGAGGCGGGCAAGTTTTTTCATCCGCCACACAGATGAAAAAACATTTTCATATATACAATCTGGAAACGGTATATTATAATAAGGTCATGCCATTACAATAGACCACATGAATGAAGATTGGATCTCTAGAATTGTCATTATATTCCTTCAATACATGATTTGTATCTTTTATATTACATTAGTTTTTTAATTGCATGAAGTTGCTAGAATTGCTTGCACATGCATAGTCTGATGTGGAGAAAACTAGGTCTCTCTCCCACCTGTAAATCCATTTTTCATCATGACTCTGTGCTGAAGAACTGAGTGTTCGTGAGAGTGGGAGAGACCTTTCACAGGCAGTCCCTCTGCTCTTCAAGAACAGCAAGCACGGTGCATGCGCAGTAATTATTTGTTTACTACCTAGCCATTACCAATGTTGACATAACTCAGGGTCAGATTTTGGCAATGAAGCCAGCATGTAGGAAGTGTGCCCAAGCCGGACAAATAATAGCAGACTGTGGGCAGAGAGTGGGTGGAAGGTGGGGAAACCAGAGGTGGGAGTTACAGAATTCTAACACCCACGATGGTGAGTAGAAAACAACAATAAGGAGGGTGGTAATATACACTTCACCAAGAGTGTGTGTGTGTGTGTGTCGCTCAGACTCCACGCACACAGACCTAAGACACAGAAGTAACGTAAATGAGACCCAGCACCAACAAAATGATCTTCAAACAGACAATCTTTATTCCACCATTGAGTGGACCTGGCAACTTTACACTTTGGGTTTACTTAATGGTTACATAGTTGCATAGTTACACAGCTGAAAAGAGACTTGCGTCCATCAAGTTCAGCCTTCCTCACATTTGTTTTTTGCTGTTGATCCAAAAGAAGGCAAAAAAAAAAACAGTTTGAAGCACAATTTTGCAACAAGCTAGGAAAAAAATTCCTTCTTGACCCAGAATGGCAGTCAGATTTATCCTTGGATCAAGCAGTTATTACCCTACATTGAAAGATTATATCCTTGAATATTCTGTTTTTGCAAGTATGCATCTAGTAGCTGTTTGAACATCTGTATGGACTCTAATAAAACCACTTCTTCAGGCAGAGAATTCCACATCCTGATTGTTCTTACAGTAAAAAAAACCTTCCCTTTGCCTTAGACGAAATCTTCTTTCTTCCAGTCTAAACGCATGGCCTCGTGTCCTGTGTAAAGTCCGGTTTGTGAATAGATTTCCACACAATGGTTTCTATTGGCCCCGAATATATTTGTATAATGTTATCATATCCCCTCTCAGGCGACATTTTTCTAAACTAAATAGGTTTAAATTTGTTAACCTTTCTTCATAGCTGATATGTTCCATTCCTTTCATTAATTTTGTAGCCCGCCTCTGCACTTTTTTTAGTGCCATAATATCCTTCTTTAGAACAGGTGCCCAAAATTGCACAGCATATTCAATATGGGGTCTTACCAGTGATTTATAAAGAGGCAAAATGATATTCTCGTCCCGAGAATGCATGCCCGTTTTCATGCATGACAATATCTTACTTGCCTTGGCCACTGCTGATTGACATTGCATATTGTTGCATAGTTTGTTGTCTATAACAATTCCCAAGTCCTTTTCGTGTGTCGTTATCCCTAATTTGCTTCCATTAAGGGTATACGTTGATTGTGTATTCTTTACACCGAAGTGCATAACTTTGCATTTTTCAACATTAAATTTCATCTGCCATTTGAGTGCCCAGTCCCCCAGTCTATCTAAATCCCTCTGCAGCAAAGTAATATCTTGCTCACATTGTATTATTTTATAGAGTTTTGTGTCATCTGCAAACACTGAAACATGACTTTCAATGCTGTCTTCAAGATCATTTATAAACATGTTAAATACAAGCGGTCCCAGAACAGACCCCTGAGATACACCACTTGCCACCTCTGTCCAGCTTGAAAATTTACCATTAATGACAACTCTTTGTACTCTGTTTTTAAGCCAATGTTCTACCTAAGAACAAGCATTTTCATCTAGATCGATTTCCTTGAGTTTAAACACTAATCTATCGTGTGGAACTGTATCAAATGCCTTGGCAAAATCCAAATAGATCACATCCACGGCAACACCCTGATCTATACTTCTACTTACTTCTTCGTAGAACGCAATCAAGTTAGTTTGGCATGACCTGTGCTTCATAAAACTGTGCTGATTTTTGCTGATAACCATGTTCTTCTCAAGGAATTCTTGCATATTATCCCTTAATAACCTTTCAAATATTTTCACAGCCACAGAAGTTAAGCTCACAGGTCTATAGTTTCCAGGCAAGGATTTTGAACCCTTTTTGAATATAGGAACCACATCTGCCTTCCTACAATCCTCCGGAACACTTCCTGAAAGAAAATAATCTTGAAAGATTAAAAACAGAGGTTCACTTATTTCTACACTTAGTTCCTTAAGTACTCGTGGATGGATACCGTCAGGACCTGGAGCTCTGTTTATATTAACTTTCTTTAGTTGCTGCAGCACCTTGTCTTGAGTTAACCAATTACAATTATTCTGCAAGTTTTTAGTAGCAATAATTTGCACATCTATTGCCATGGGTTCTTCCTTAATATATACGGAGGAGAAATAGTTATTTAAAATTCCTGCCTTTTCCTGGTCTTCATTAACTAACACACCCGTTTCAGTTTTTAGTGTACCTACACTTTCATTTTTGTTTTTTTTAGAATTTATGTACTTAAAAAATGCTTTGGGGTTGGTTTTGCTCTCTTTAGCTATCATTATTTCATTTTGAAAGATCTTTTCGTTGGTGTTGTGTATACTAGCCGGGAAGGTGAGGGTATGACAGCATTGGGCTAGTGAGTTTATAGTATTTCACATGGAATACATCATGTATCGCTGTGATAAATTATGTATTCAATGCATTTCATTTATGTTAAAGGGACACTCCAGACACTTTATTTTGCTGAAAAGCTTTATGGTTGAAGAGTGTGTCCTCTTTTTTTCATTTTGGAAAAACTTTCAAAGATTTGAAATAAATCATCACTTTTATAAACTAAACTTGTTACACCCCCATGGCTGTCAATCAGATAACAGGCTCTGTTACTTCCTGGTTTGGTTAGCTCAGTGGAGATAAACTCAAGAGGCAGCAATTTCCCAGAGCACCTGCCTTGCAAAGACTACTCATTGAACTTCATTGGGAAGTCTGTGATTGGACAGCCACAGAAAGTCTGGGCGGGGTTAGCAATGAAGGGCTTGCAAAGGCAGAAGACAAGAGGTGAACTACTTTGCAAGCTGTTTTTAGATATGACTCCAATGAAAAAATGTATAATTAAATGCTACAAGTTTTTATTTGAGTATATCTACTAAACAACAGTGATTCTTATTCATTTATCTGGGCAATAGCGTGTCTCTTTTAAGTGAGGAGAAAATTAAGATGAATATGTGGCACAGGTGCATGTTTTACGTTCCACATGCTTAAGAAATATTTCCTCCAGTAAGAGAATGAATTTTAGGATAATGTTTGGACAATCAGTCTTAAGTCCAAATGAGAGATCATGACCCAGTCACATTCCAGGAACTATATACGGATAATCCACGTTTACACTTTCATTTGCCATTGTTTTCAGAGATGCCTAATTACCATTTGATTTAACTAATTTCTGCTTTTCTTTCTATCTCCACTCAGACAGTGTTGTCAGTATTTTGAGTATGCCTTCTATGACCTGTCATGTCGAGATGCTTCCTGATTTTTTAATCCTTCAATCAGCTTCATCAACAAGTTGAGCTGATACATTTCATAATAACCACGCGTCACACTAATCCCTTCTCTATTAAACGCAGCTCAAACATGCTAAAGTACCTCACTATAGGTCATTACACAGTGAGCCACATTCCTCCCCAAAGCAGCCTGGAGAGAAGGGCTGACAGAATTGTCTATCAGGAGAACTTGTCCAGAGGTGTCAATGAATAGAACAATCTGTACAATATTACCAGGTTTATAAAAAGGGCTTAAAACAGTGGCTTCATTTTCCAAACCTGCGTGGAAAGATGGTGGTCTCATTTCTTCATCCTTCGTGAATGTCTTCTCATAGAGACAGAATCAATGACGAGATTTTACTTTATTAAGAAAATGACACCCTATATGTCATAGATAGAGTGACCATCATGTTCCAGTGAAAAAATATACTATTATAATGAGACTTTCAGCCAAATTTTACCAAATTCTGTGAGCTTACCATTTACCAAAATCCAAATCAAAATGTATCTGAGCTTCAAATAAATCGAGTAGAAGAATAGTTGGGCCATATTGGTTGATTCGGAATTTGGAAGTAGTTTTGTAGTGGCTGCCACTAGGAACCAATGCCATTTAACATCAATCTTGAAAGTATGAGAGTTGATTATTTTGTTAAAGAAAGACTATAGGCACATTTTCTACCCTTCATTTTAGGGTTTCACTGGCAATAAATCAATCCCAGCTTTTTCAAAATGTAACTAGTTTTTTATCACAACCAAAATTCTATAGCACCAAAAAATTCAAAGAGAATCAATTTGGAAAAAACTATTTTTTTCCCGTGTCGAGGTCTAAAAAGATTTTTATACTAAAACACGTCATATCTAGTTTGTGGGACCCAAGTAACTGATGGTACTGGGGCCATTAAGTGACCCATCCCATCTGACCATGAAAGGAGGGGACACCTCTGCAAGTTGAGCTCTGTGGGTGATATGTAACTGTTTAAAACGGGTCCTTCTCCAATAAAACAGTAATGTGTTCCTTAACATCTGCATCTGGCTGTTGGACCAGTGAGAAACATCTTTAGTGTTCTGCCAGAGGAAAGATCATATCTCAAAGACTCATATCTAGCTTTTAACAAGGTGTCAAGTGAATGTTTCATCTCAAGGAGATAGATAGCTATCATGCCTAGAGCTTGGGAAGACTAGAAAGGACCCGTATAACCTGGTGATAATTACTCAGACAGACAGAGGTCAGGCCTATTAAGGGAACATGTCAGATGACCCAGGATGATAGCTTAGATCTCCCAAATCTTAAAGTAGGAGGCCCAGCATTGTTTGCACACAGAACAACCAAGTCAAGGGGCATGAAATCACTCTAAGAGAGTGAAGACCTCTCATCAGTCATAAAGTGACCAGAGCTTTGTATTTAAAGACTATTACACAGTATTAACTCTTCTGTAGTTGCAGGAACCTCTCTCTCTCTCTCTCTCTCTATCTTTCTTTCTATCTATCTGTCTATCTCTCTTTCTCTCTCTATCTATCTGTCTGTCTAAGGTAAGACTCAGGGAGGGGGCGAATATACTTTATTTTTTTATTTTTTTTTATCCTCCTTACTGAGCCCCATGCCCCCCCCCACAGCCCCCATAATATCCCCACTACAGCTCATCTCCCCCAATTTTAACCCTGTCGGTGTGTGTGTGCCAGTGTGTGTGTGTGTGTGTGTGTGTGTGTCAGTATGTCTGTGAATGTGTCAGTATGTCTGTGTGTGTGTATGCCAGTATGTCTGTCTGTGTGTGCCAGTATGTCTCTGTGTGTGTGCCAGTATGTGTGTCTGTGTGTGCCAGTATGTGTGTCTGTGTGTGTGTCAGTATGTCTGTCTGTGTGTGTGCCAGTATGTCTCTGTGTGTGTGCCAGTATGTCTGTCTGTGTGTGCCAGTATGTGTGTCTGTGTGTGTGTGTGTGTGTCAGTATGTCTGTCTGTGTGTGCCAGTATGTGTGTCTGTGTGTGTGTCAGTATGTCTGTCTGTGTGTGTGCCAGTATGTCTCTGTGTGTGTGCCAGTTTGTCGATGTGTGTGTCAGCCAGCTAGTATGTCTGTGTGTGTGTGTCAGTATGTCTGTCTGTTTGAGTCAGTATGCCTGTAACTGTGTGTGTGTGTACCCCTGTCAGTTAGTGTGTCTGTTTAGGTGACTGTCCCCCTTTCATTTACATGGGAAAGGTGTTTTTACTCTCCTCTTGGTGCAATGGGCCACTTGACTGCATTTGCGCCCCAGGCCTAAGGCTGCCAGCGCTCCCCTCTATCTATCTATCTATCTATCTATCTAATATTTAAGTATCTCTCTCTGTCTCTCTGTCTGTCTATCTATACAGAGATTCTTCTCTGTCAGACCATATTATTCTTTTTATAATCGAGGGTTAACCTTGCTTTGCTCTCTCACTCTCTTTCTCTCTCTTTATATAGATATGTCAACAATATACTGGAAAATCTAAATTAAAATGCATCCCCCATAATATTGGCATCACATTAGTTAAATATCTGGTACAGTGATGGAAAAAAGTATTTGATCCCCTGCTGATTTTGAACGGTTGCCCACTAACAAAGAAATGATCAGTCTATAATTTTAATGGTAGGTGTATTTTAACAGTGAGAGACAGATTAACAGAAAAAATGCATTTAAAAAAAAATATAATTTGATTTGCATGTCAATGAGTGAAATAAGTATTTGACCCCTTTGACTTAGTACTTGGTGGCAAAACCCTTGTTGGCAATCACAGAGGTCAGACGATTCTTGTAGTTGTACAGTAAAATTTTTATTATTTTTAAAAATATCTATATATATTGACAAATTAGAGAAGTGATAAATAAGTGCTGATCCTTATCCAATTTCTTGTTTTGCATGATTCTTGTAGTTGGCCACCAGGTTTGCACACATCTCAGGAGGGATTTTGCCCCACTCCTCTTTGCAGATCCTCTCCAAGTCATTAAGGTTTCAAGGCTGACGTTTGGCAACTCGAACCTTCAGCTCCCTCCACATATTTTCTATGGGATTAAGGATGGAGACTGGCTAGGCCACTCCAGGACCCTAATGTGCTTCTTCTTGAGCCACTCCTTTGTTGCCTTGGCTGTGTGTTTTGGGCAGGGGTCAAGTCCTGGGGGAAAAAGTGTAGGTACTCACCCAAGATCCACCCTCCTCTACCCCTCCAAAAAAAAATACACTTGTATGCCTATATAAACTAGTGCACACACACACTGACAGGTGCACTCAGACACTCACAGACACATACATACACTCACAGACACACTCAGACATTCACAGACACACATATACACACAGACACTCACTCACAGACGCACACACATACCCAGACACTCACACAGTGGTGTATTTTAATGTTGTTCTGCACTAGGCATGACAATACCTGATCACCCCCCTAATCTACATTTACCACCACTTCCTGTCAAGGGCGCACCTCTTTCTGATTAAGAACCCGCCCCTTCCTCTTTAGACTCCACCTTTTCCTACTCCTTTTAAATAAATATTATAGTGCCAGGAAAACAAAGCTGTTTTCCTGGCACTATAATTCCCTATAGTGCCCCCCTCCCTCGTGTCCTCCCCTCCCCCACTCGACACTGAAGGGGTTAAAATCCTATGGGTATTTAGCAGATGCTGGAGGTCCTCATGCACAGCGTGAGGACGTCCAGCATCAGTTAGGCGACTTTTGGACACCTTACCACCCAAAAGTCCCTCTAGTAGGACAGCCACTAGAGGTGGAGTTACCCGTCAAAGTACCTGCAATAATTACACTTGCAGGTTTAAGGGGACTGGGACACTGCACCCAGACCACTTCAATGAGCTGAAGTTGTCTGGGTGCCTATAGTGTCCATTTAAGCACACTCTCTGACAGACACACTGGCAGATACACACTGACAGTAACACACACACTCAGTGACAAGCACACAAACTTCACTGATTTGACACACACACACATTCAGTGACACACACTCATTCACTGACAGAGAGACACACACAAACACACTGACAGACACACACTAATAGTCACACACACACTAAATGACAAACAGACTCTCACTGATTTGACAGACACTCACAAACATACACATGCATACACTAACAGAAGCACATACACACAAACATACACATGCATACACTAACAGAAGCACATACACTCATACACACACACGTACATATGCCAAAAGACGTAAATACACTCGTACACACACTCATACACTAACAGACATACATACGCTCTTAGACTAACAGACATACCTACACTCACACACACACACATACACTAACAGACACACACTAACAGACATACACACACACACACATGCATACACTCACAGACATACACACACACACACTAACATACATATATACACACACCCATACATAAACAGACATATATACAAATTATTAATATTATTAAAATTAACATTTACCACCCACCCAGCCTCCTAACCTTTTGGGAAAACTGGCATGGATGAGTCCCTGGTGTCCAGTGGGGCTGCAGTGAGGCAGACGACTGTTCTAATCAGACGTGGCGAGGAAGCTATGTTCTCCCACACAGGCTGTCTACTGATGCCAGAAACCCGAATATGACGTCATATTCCGGCTCCTGGCATCAGCAAACGGCGTACGAGGGAGCAGAGCTTGGAGAACATAGCTCCCGCACCGCGTCTAAAAGGTAGACAGACGTCCATCGGGGGTCCACAGGGGAAACAAGGGGGGGCATTTGGGGGCGGCATTTTTTGTCATCCCCTGGTTAGTGCCTGCAGGGGGAATGGCATTCCTGCTGTGAAAAAAGTGCAGGAACGCCGTTCCCACGCGTTCCTGCAGGACTCAAGCCCTGGTTTGGGGTCACTGTCATGCTGGAATACCCATCCACGACCCATTTTCAATGCCCTGCCTGAGGGAAGGAGGTTCATACCCAAAATTTGATGGTACATGGCCCTGTCCATCATCCCTTTGATGCGGTGCAGTTGTCCTGTCCCCTTAGCTGTCCCCTGGATTTGTTTTTTGTTATTCTGTCTCTCACTGTTAAAATACACCTACCATTAAAATTATAGACTAAACATTTCTTTGTCAGTGGGCATGCATTTAAAATCAGCAGGGGATCAAATACCTTTTTTTTCCCTCATTGTAAGTGTTCTTTGACAGAGGATAGTTAAATGTATCTGCTCAGGTACTAATTTTGAATTGAAACCTTTTTGCTCAGATGATTAAAAGTCATACGAAATACTGGAGTTTCAGGTGTGAATCCAGAAAGAACAAAAACAGCCCAAAGATGACAGACTAAATGGGAGTATTTATTATTATTATAATTTGACATTCCAGGTAGGTGCTCCCAGGTGTGATTTCCCAGAGATGAATACCCAGGTAGCTGTTCCCAGGTGTGATTTCCCAGAGATGAATACCCAGGTAGGTGTTCCCAGGTGTGATTTCCCAGAGATGAATACCCAGGTAGGTGTTCCCAGGTGTGTTTTCCCAGAGATGAATACCCAGGTAGGTGTTCCCAGGTGTGATTTCCCAGAGATGAATAACCAGGTAGGTGTTCCCAGGTATGATTTCCCAGAGATGAATACCCAGGTAGGTGTTCCCAGGTGTGATTTCCCTGAGATGAATACCCAGGTAGCTGTTCCCAGGTGTGATTTCCCAGAGATGAATACCCAGGTAGCTGTTCCCAGGTGTGATTTCCCAGAGATGAATACCCAGGTAGGTGTTCCCAGGTGTGATTTCCCAGAGATGAATACCCAGGTAGGTGTTCCCAGGTGTGTTTTCCCAGAGATGAATACCCAGGTAGGTGTTCCCAGGTGTGTTTTCCCAGAGATGAATATCCAGGTAGGTGTTCCCAGGTGTGATTTCCCTGAGATGAATACCCAGGTAGCTGTTCCCAGGTGTTTTTTCCCAGAGATGAATACCCAGTTAGGTGTTCCAAGGTGTGATTTCCCAGAGATGAATACCCAGGTAGGTGTTCCCAGGTGTGATTTCCCAGAGATGAATACCCAGGTAGGTGTTCCCAGGTGTGATTTCCCAGAGATGAATACCCAGGTAGGTGTTCCCAGGTGTGATTTCCCAGAGATGAATACCCAGGTAGGTGTTCCCAGGTGTGTTTTCCCAGAGATCAATACCCAGGTAGGTGTTCCCAGGTGTGATTTCCCAGAGATGAATACCCAGGTAGGTGTTCCCAGGTGTTTTTTTCCCAGAGATGAATACCCAGGTAGGTGTTCCCAGGTGTGATTTCCCAGAGATGAATACCCAGGTAGGTGTTCCCAGGTGTGTTTTCCCAGAGATGAATACCCAGGTAGGTGTTCCCAGGTATGATTTCACAGAGATGAATACCCAGATAGGTGCTCCCATGTATGATTTCACAGAGATGAATACCCAGGTAGGTGTTCCCAGGTGTGTTTTCCCAGAGATGAATACCCAGGTAGATGTTCCCAGGTGTGATTTCCCAGAGATGAATACCCAGGTAGGTGTTCCCAGGTGTGATTTCCCTGAGATGAATACCCAGGTAGGTGTTCCCAGGTATGATTTCCCAGAGATGAATACCCAGGTAGGTGTTCCCAGAAATGAATACCCAGAAATGAATACCCAGGTAGGTGTTCCCAGGTGTGATTTCCCAGAGATGAATACCCAGGTAGGTGTTCCCAGGTGTGATTTCCCAGAGATGAATACCCAGGTAGGTTTTCCCAGGTGTGATTTCACAGAAATGAATACCCAGGTAGGTGTTCCCAGGTATGATTTCACAGAGATGAATACCCAGGTAGGTGTTCCCAGGTGTGTTTTCCCAGAGATGAATACCCAGGTAGGTGTTCCCAGGTGTGATTTCCCAGAGATGAATACCCAGGTAGGTGTGCCCAGGTGTGATTTCCCAGAGATGAATACCCAGGTAGGTGTTCCCAGGTATGATTTCCCAGAAATGAATACCCAGGTAGGTGTTCCCAGGTGTGATTTCCCTGAGATGAATACCCAGGTAGGTGTTCCCAGGTGTGATTTCCCTGAGATGAATACCCAGGTAGGTGTTCCCAGGTATGATTTCACAGAGATGAATACCCAGGTAGGTGTGCCCAGGTGTGATTTCCCAGAGATGAATACCCAGGTAGGTGTTCCCAGGTATGATTTCCCAGAAATGAATACCCAGGTAGGTGTTCCCAGGTGTGATTTCCCTGAGATGAATACCCAGGTAGGTGTTCCCAGGTGTGATTTCCCTGAGATGAATACCCAGGTAGGTGTTCCCAGGTATGATTTCACAGAGATGAATACCCAGGTAGGTGTTCCCAGGTATGATTTCCCAGAGACGAATACCCAGGTAGGTGTTCCCAGGTATGATTTCCCAGAGATGAATACCCAGGTAGGTGTTCCCAGGTGTGTTTTCCCAGAGATGAATACCCAGGTAGGTGTTCCCAGGTGTGATTTCCCAGAAATGAATACCCAGGTAGGTGTTACCAGGTGTGATTTCCCAGAGATGAATACCCAGGTAGGTGTTCCCAGGTATGATTTCACAGAGATGAATACCCAGGTAGGTGTTCCCAGAAATGAATACCCAGAAATGAATATCCAGGTAGGTGTTCCCAGGTGTGTTTTCCCAGAGATGAATACCCAGGTAGGTGTTCCCAGGTGTGATTTCACAGAAATGAATACCTAGGTAGGTGTTCCCAGGTATGATTTCACAGAGATGAATACCCAGGTAGGTGTTCCCAGGTGTGATTTCACAGAAATGAATACCCAGGTAGGTGTTCCCAGGTGTGATTTCCCAGAGATGAATACCCAGGTAGGTGTTCCCAGGTATGACCACGCATTGATCTGTTACTAGTTATCTGCATTATGTGATATGTGTTTCATTAATCACTCAGTCATTCTACAATTCATTCTATGTGTCATTTAGCATTACATTGTTTAGACATATTTAGCATTAATTAGCATCTGCTTTACACTGGCACCGAGTATAATACGGGCTAATGATAAGTAAAACATTGTATATTTGTATCTACTTGGCAAAGTGCTACACAAATGGTTGGCATATTGTGAATTAGTATTAAAACTGTCAGCAGACAACAGTGACTCCCGCGATGATTAGATCAGTTTAATATTTATGTAAATTAATATGGGGTGTGAAATAAATACACTGTGTCTTGATTGTGTGAGTGTTTGCTTTTCCATAACCTCATATTAATAACTAGACGTAACGCAATGCGCAGACTGCGCCACGGCTGCTAAAACATTATTCTTACTTCTGCAGCATTTTCTCTGTGGGGAAAAAACACCAATATTAAGGCTTCAGTTATTTGTTTTAAAAGTTCTGGAAAATGCAACAGCAGAGGAATATCTATCTGGGGAAACAGACAATATCTAGCACAAAGCGGGGTCTGCGCTGGCCGAGTGGTTTTCAGGAATTGTTATTCTAAAAAAAAAACCCGTACCATATTCAAGTGAGAACACAGGTAGGTGCTTGTAAGATGCCTCAAATTCAAATGAGATGAGACAGATGCACATTTTTTACATTTGTTATTTATTAATAATAAACAATATGAAGGAGCTACCGTTTTATCCAACGTACAGTGCGGAGCTACAGAGGATCTTAATCCCTGAGAAGCAATTGTCGCTGAGCAATTTTACACCTATGTTGGCGAACGCTGGTGTAAAATGTGACTATTTCTGTTAATAAGGTTTTCATTGAATATTGGAGGAATATTAGTTTTTCCCACCTACTCTCTCACGTATAGCAAAAGTCTTAGAGTCTGTCATTGATGTTGGGAAGCTGAAAATTCACTCTGTTTTATTTCAGCTGCTGGGGTGGGGGTGGGAGCATGCTTCATGTACGGGGAGATTTCAGCAATGGGGGGTAGATAGATAGATAGATAGACAGACAGACAGACAGACAGATAGATAGATAGATAGACAGACAGACAGACAGACAGATAGATAGTGTGGCAAAAGTAACCTTGGAGGGGCCTGTTTGCCAGCCTCCTAACCTGTGACTATGGCCCCTGTGATAAAACTTGGTTTAAATCACTGTTCGGGCCTTTTTTGATTTTTATGGCCACAGTTCGACCTTTCAAAGTGGCACTTCAAATTCCCGAACAGTCGAAGTGGCCGCCATTCGACATTCGAACACGTGGTGGCAGCCATCTTGTTCACATGGACCAAAACCGCGAATAGACCTCAGGGGGACTTAGCCGCGAATGCCCTGGAACTATTTTCGGCATGAAAACCTTGCGGTTCCCGGTCGGTCTTCCAGCGGCACTTAGCCGCGATTCAATAGAACTGTTCTGGGCATGAAACCCTGCGTGCGCCTGGGCAAAAACTATGACTTCCATAGAATTTATGAACCCCTGTTCTGATCTGGGTGATTTTTGGATATGTTGGTCACCCAAATCAGGGCTATCAGGGGATGTAAGATATGTTGTGTTTTGGGGTACTTTTGGGGTTTTGTAAAATATGTGTTTTTTCTGCCTGGAGATAATTGGGTTAATAGAGTATCTGATCCAATTATCTCACAGGCAGAGAGCCAGCCTACCGTACAGACAGCAGACAGCCTTATCATATATCCAGATACACTGTATTGCAATCTGTGTCTGTCTGTCTATCCAGCCTACCGTACAGACAGCAGACAGCCTTATCATATATCCACATACACTGTATTGCAATCTGTGTCTGTCTGTCTATCCGGCCTACCGTACAGACAGCAGACAGCCTTATCATATATCCACATACACTGTATTGCAATCTGTGTCTGTCTGTCTATCCAGCCTACCGTACAGACAGGAGACAGCCTTATCATATATCCACATCCACTGTATTGCAATCTGTGTCTGTCTGTCTATCCAGCCTACTGTACAGACAGCAGGCAGCCTTATCATATATCCACATACACTGTATTGCAATCTGTGTCTGTCTGTCTAGCCGGCCTGCCGTACAGACAGCAGACAGCCTTATCATATATCCACATACACTGTATTGCAATCTGTGTCTGTCTGTCTATCCAGCCTACCGTACAGACAGGAGACAGCCTTATCATATATCCACATCCACTGTATTGCAATCTGTGTCTGTCTGTCTATCCAGCCTGCCGTACAGACAGCAGACAGCCTTATCATATATCCACATACACTGTATTGCAATCTGTGTCTGTCTGTCTATCCAGCCTGCCGTACAGACAGCAGACAGCCTTATCATATATCCACATACACTGTATTGCAATCTGATTTGTATTCTTTTACTGCTTGCTTGAAGTGTGGAACGTTTTATTTTCCTTATAGGATCAATGCAATTCACTCCAAGCAGACTTAAAGCACAAAAAACAGATGAAAAAAAAACCACACAAAATAAACGACAAAAAAGAAAAAAAAAAAACCTCTTAGTAATGAGATTGAATCTTACAAAACACAGAAGCAAATGTGGCTTTAATACATTGTTATGACCCTTTATAGGTTTGGAAATTACTCTTCAAAACTGATTCTGGCTCGACTTCAGAGCAGAGGGGATTCTGGGATACCGCAGAGCGACTTTGAGTAGTAAGTTGGTATTGCAGGAATGTTTTAATTTCCTGTAACACAACAATCTCAGTGGAGCACGGCCGGAGGATCCTATCCTATGCCTTGCGCTCAGAAAAAGGCTGCAAAGGGAGGAGACAGACTTTAATAGATGGCGTCTCATCGGGAGCCCCTTTCTTCCAGTTCCCTTGGGACACAGAGCAAGGCATTCGTCATTAGAGAAGATTACTTCGTATTTATCTGTTTGTCACTTTTATTAACAATCTCCCTTCAATAAAAGGCGTTCTGTATCGTTATACGATTCATTTCTTTATTCAGATAGTTAATGTCAAATCACAGGAGAAAAAACGTATTGTTTCAGCAGTAGAACACATTTTTTATATTTTTTTTGTCAATTTACCTTAATTAATTCTCTGAAAACACAATGCAAATGATTACAATGATGCCCTAAATTCTGTCCCATTTAATTGGATGTATATACATGGACATCATTTAGACAATACACATAATAAGACCGAATCCCAAGAAGACATTACTGTCCAGCATTATGCTACGTGTAACATGAGTTTAGCGCTACAGTTCATGTACTGCGGCTGAGGTTGGTGGGAGTTTCTGTCCAGTTTCTGCGGCAGAGGTTGGTGGCTGGTTTCTGTAATTGTTTTAGGACCTGTCCTGTTTTGCATAAAAGCCATGTGTTGCATAATAAAATCTTAGAGCTGTGTGTCGTCCAGTTACTGGGGGAATGGGTGTCTTTATACTGAAGGTGGTTCCAGAGTGGCTGAGGGAAGGAATTAGCAGAGGTAACAGATCGTGTTACCCGAGGGCCGCCACACACACCCCAGGTGATAAGCCCGGATTAGTAGACATTACTTGTGACATGTTTATATTTTTCTTGAATGAAACCACAAGCAGAGTAACAGCACACAGGTAAGAAATCACTAAAATGGTTTGTTTCTGTAAATGTATTTCCAGAATAACTACGTATGACTAATAATTTACAGGTTGCAACCAGCGCTAAATTAAATATATCCACCTTTTTTACTTGATATCAGATTATTGGCTTTTGTCAGTATGTAACCACTACAGCACTATGGACTATGTTGGCACCATACAGATATATACAACTCCAACTACCCAGAAAATAAGACCTAGACCTAGACCTAGGTCATAATATAAGCGCTACCCCAAAGATAAGATCTAGTCCCTAGTCGCTATTTCACTTATCTAGGTTCGGGGAAGTGAACATAGATTTGAGGTATTCTATTAGCGAGTAAGTTGTATTCCCCCAAACATAGACCTGCTTTCTAGCACACATCCGCTCTAGTGGCTTTTTCAGGGGAGAAATTAATATAAGACCCGGTCTTATTTTCGGGGAAAGACGGTACTACTAATGAGTGATCCAATAACTACTTGCACAAGTGAAGATTTGAAAGGGTCAATAAATGGGGGATGATATGAAGAAGAAGTTAAGGCAAGTGCTGTCAATCATTATTTCAAAGGCCCATGTCAGCGGGCGAGATTGGAAGCTCTCACGGCAGTTGGAGCCAAAAACGAGTTTACATTTCTAACATACCAACTGTGCCAATTTATGAATTTTTGTGTAATGCACTGGAGAGACCGAACATCTGCTTAGAATAATAAGGAAAAAATAAACAAAAAGAATGTCTGTGTTTGAATCCACTATATTAAATACACGAAGAGTGATGGTTTTCTAAATTATTGTTTAATGCGGAGTGCAAGCAACTTGGTAGCTCCAAATTCACTCAGTGCCCCCTCGTTCTCATTTCTTGTTGTTTCTACTTATATCACTGGTTATTTTGTTGATATTTTTAGTTTATCTGTCCATTTTGAGGTTGAGATGCGTACAAAATGGGTTAACATGATATGTTTTCACTTGTGTAAAGGGCGGAAAGAATAAATACAAACATTATTTATTTTAAGAAGGGAAATACTTTTCAAATGTGTTGTCTGATCGTAGTAGAGCTCTTGAGATTTCTCCTAATCACACTTTGAACTGCAGGGTTTTGAGAAATTGATGATTCTGCCTGATTTTGCGTTCTGCTCAGATCAAACGCGTGGTTTATCAACACATTTCTGTTAAAACATCATAACGCTGGCCAGGTACTTTTCATTTATTGCCATGGATTT